AGGTCATTTGGTAGACTTCCCATCATCACCAGTTTTAAAAAAACAGTCTTAGAAAGGGAACAGCAGTTTCTCAAAGGGTTAAAATGCCCACTGGGCTAAACTGGACTAAGGCCAGTGTGGCCCACACACCCCCCTCCCCCCCCCCGAGACTCAGCCCCCCTACCACCACGCTCACCTCCCCCGGCCACGCTGACCCTCACTGCTGGAACGCTCACTGCTCGAGCTCCGATGCTTGTGTTTCCTGTGCTTCTTTTTCTTCTCCTTCTTTTTTTTCTTCTCCTTTTTTTCCAGACTCATTTGCAACTAGAAAATGCGCAGAACATGCCCATGTAAAATTCTCAAGACCCTCCTCAGTCCTCTCAAAGAGACTGATACAGTCTGACTGTATGCCCCTAGGTCTACCGGAGTCCAGGACATGAACCAATGGGCGGGTACACAAACCCACCTAGCCTGCTAAACAGAATTTCTACTGGGTGGAATGAGAAATTAGTGTTTTTAACAACCCCAGAACCACTGCCAAGGAGTTGCCATTCTATGTCAGAGTAACTCCAACTCCAGTGAAAACAAGGTCAGTCTTTAAATTCTCCTTACCAACTGATGCAAGAAATAATTCCATAGTATGCCATGTGAAAGCCCACAAAAAAAAAAAAAGAAAAGAAAAACAAACTCCCTGCTATGGAGGAACTGACTCATAGCACCCCCACTGGACTTGCAAGGCTATAAATCTTTACAGAAGCAAACTGTCTCATCTTTCTTTCACAGAGCAGCTGGTGGGTTCAAATCACCAACCTTCTGGTTAGCAGCCAAATGCATTAACCACTATACCACCAGAGGTCCTTATGTGAAAGCTTTAGAGGCTTTATATACCACAACCCAGGACGCACACTGATATCCTGAACACTCTACATGATCACACTCTCCACACATGTATACCATGCTCCTCTTATATATTTGTCCAACAAATTATGTTATGACATGAAAAAGGAGGCGGGGCAAGATGGCAGACTAGGCAGAAGGATTGCACAGACCCTCTTCAACAAAGAAAAGGGAAACCAATAAATACAGACACAGAAGATAATCTTGGA